TCCGAAAAAGCATTTGTTTGTAAAAAACCAAAGAGTAAGTAATATGATAAGATATACTAGGTTTACGATTTATTTTATAACATTTAGACTGTAAATATATGCTGTGTATTGTCCTATATGTGATATGTCATGTGAGTTTGTATGTAAACCATATTTATAGTATATATGTAACCACTGACACTAAAGTTAGGTCTGCATTGCAATGTAAACAAAGAACTTTGTAGTCTTCATAAAAGGAAGCATTACAAAATTCAGAGTAATGTGTTTAAAGAACTTGTAAGTGAGATCTTTTAAAGACAGTTTGAAATTTTACCCTGGAGCAGCATTCCCATTTCTTTATTTTGGAATGTGAATATACGCAGTCCTCTTTGCCCAACCAAAGATGCATGAACTGTTAAGGAGTAAGAAATACCCAGCTTATACATGCTTTGTTAGACTTTAAGGTGCTAGACTATTTGTTGTTTTTGACGTTTTTCCAGTTATAGACTAACTCGGCTACCCCCCTGAAACCAGCCTAAATCTTCACGCAGAAATTGAACTAAACCTTTTTTCCCAAACAGCTAATGGAGGCTTCCTTCTTGCCGCTGAATAGTATGACAGGAACTCTGCTATTATTAAAAATTGCTTTGCTTTTTTAAAGAATCGATAAGGAATCAATGTCCATTGCCCCCGCTGTAAACCTGCACTCAGAGTCATGCACGTAATTGCATAAGAATGCATCTAGTGTAAATCTAGTGATTGCATTGCAAACAATAGAGTATGTTCTATTTAAATACTAGACCTGATTCTCCTTTGCCTTGCATAAGGAAGAGTCATTTATGCTTATTCAATAAAAATGTAAAACTCAGTCATTCCAATTGAAGTTTGAAACCAGGCTTTCATTGTGAGCTCGATTTCAACATCTTAATTTTAAACTGTAGTAACTGATGTGTTTGCAAATTTTGTTGCACAAATATGAAAGGAGAATAACTTTGCTCACCATTTCAAAAGTGAGAATTTGGGAATTAAGAGTATTATTTTCCCTCTTCCCAAATGTTACATATTTTTGGTTCACATTTCCAAAACAGTCATAAAGTGCTGTGGGGGGGAGAGGGGAGAGAGACCCACATCCATACAATGTATAAACTGCCTGTATGGCTCTGAAGGTGTCATGTGGGTCATAGCCACATGCTGACTGGACTGCAAGCAACCCATGGGTTGAGAATCATTGCATCTAAAATATAACTAAGGCACTTGGAATGGGGCAGTTTTAACTAATGGAGCATTTCCTAGTCAAGACATTTTTAAGAATCTCAATCCTTATTGGCTAGAACCAGAGAATCCTGCTAGACAAGCCAATTTCAAAGAAGGTGCTGTGTGAAATCAAGCTTAACTACTATATTTCGTATGTTTAGCAATTTACAGTTAAGCTTCACAGAAAAAAAAAGAAAATATGTTACACCTACAAATCAGTTTGTGTGAATAGTATTTGAATATTAGAAATAAAAGCAAACATTTAAACTAGTCTCAGGAGTAGCTGTGTTAGTTTGTAACTGTGGTACATCTACACTTGCTCCCTATCTTGAGATAGGGATGCAAATGTAGTGTACCGAAATTGCTAATGAAGCGCCAAATTTAAATATCATATTTTATGAGGAGCAACAGTTATTTCGAGAGAAGGGTTTTCTCTCGAAATAATGCCACTACATGGGGCGTTTTATTTCACAATAATGCAATTTCAAAATGGCACCTGGACATGATTATGCTAATTAAGCACGGGATATTTAAATCCCGTGCTTCATTAGCAATTTCGGTAGACTACATTTGCATCCCTATCTCGAGATAGGGAGCAAGTGTAGACATACCTTGTGAAAATAACCATTAGTCCTCTGGCACCTTAGGGCTCATCTACACAGCAGGGCTTAAGTTGAATTAAGCTATGCAACTTCAGCTATGTCAGTTGTGTAGCTGAAGTTGAAATAGCTTAATTTGTTTTTTGGTGCTGTCTACACAGCAAGAAGTCAAAGGAAGTACACTCTTCTTCGACTTCCTTTACTTCTCAGGAAATGAGAGTTACCATAAGTCAGAGTAAGAAGTCTTCCAGTTTGACATTAATTCAAAATAAAGGCTTGTAGTGTAGACGCACGCTATGTTATTTTGCATTGATGTTGCTGTGTAGACATACCCTTATAGATTAACAAAAATATGTAGAATAATAAGCTTTTGAGGGTAAAACCCACTTCACCGATGATCTATCAGCTCATGATTCATGTGATGAAGTGAGTTTTATCCATGAAAGCTCATAATTCTCTATATTTTAACTAGTGTTGTAGTTCAGTTACATTTTAAACTGTTGTCACCCACTTAGCATTCTGTTAATTTCCTTTACCAAACACATTGTACATTATGAAGCTAATTGTAGTCCTTTGTATTTTTCCCAGTATAGATTTTGTAGATGCTAAATAAATGTTTTATTTTTCTCTTTAAAAGTTCTGGAAGTTGAACCAAATGAGAAGCCTCCAAATAAGAAAGGTAAGACTATAAGAAAAATAACAAGAAAGCCAAAATATAGCAGAGATATAAGTGGTTTTGACAATCTCACCCCCTAATTGATAATTGGAGCAGAAGTCGTATTGAAAGTCAGTAGGACATTTACTCCTAAAGAATTTAAGAGCTTTTAAAAACCCCATCTATGGGTGTTCATGGTTGTAAATGTTCTGACATAAACTTGCTATAAAACATGTTTCCAAATAATTAACAGATCCTATCTCATTCATTAAAGGTGTAACTTTGTTAAAATGAAACTTTCTGATTGATCAAATCTGTTGCCTTGTGGGCCAAAACCTGGGGTCCGATGATGTCTGGCTCTTAGATAGATACAGGAGTGGATTTTAAAAGTGGTTTTATGAGCTGAGGGCCCCCCCCAAAAAAAGATCTCTGGGCCATCAAACATGCCCCCTTTACCACAGAGCCTTGGGCTACAGACACTAAAGTCCCTGTGTTCTGGCCCTGCCTGGAAGGGGGAAAGGAGGACACAGCTCCACACGCTGCTGTTTCCCCATCCCAGACTGGACTTGCAAGCTTTGAGAAGCTCCATTTACAAGCTTCTCTCACCTGCAGGCTCCACTCTTGCAACTCCCATTGTCTGGTAACTGAATCCAATAGGATCTGTGGGGGCGGGAGGGAGGGGGGGAAACAGTGCCTGCAGATGAGTCAGAGCAGAGCACAGGGCATCTGCCCCCTTTCGTCTCCTGGCCTGCACCACCAAAGGGGAGTTGCTCCGTGTAAATGCTCCACCCCCAACTCCCTGCCCCAGCCCTGAGTCCTTTCCCAAAACCCTAACTCCTGCCCAGACCCTGTACATCCTCCCACCTCCAAATGCCTTGGCTCCAGCATGAAGCCCTTTCTTACACTCCTAATGCCTTATCACCAACTACACCCCATAGCTTGCAATCACAGTCAGAACCCTCACCTCTCACTCCCTTCCTCAACCCACAGTCCCCTCCCAAACTCTGAACAGGGGACCCCAAAAAACATAATTACCCCAATTCTCCAGAAGAGTTAATTTGGTCCTGGATAGGTGTTCTGAAGTAAAGGGGTAGATGGAGTCTTGAATGTCTCATACAAGAGCTAGGAACAAGCACAGACTTTGCACATAGGAGAGCCCAGGGATACACTTTCATCTATATCCTCGGGATGTAAATTGTCCCAAAGACAACTGCAATGAAACAGAGCTGTGGCACCAAACCTCATCTCATTGGCCCACTCAAAAATTACTGAGCACTAGAGAGGCTGAAGAGAAGAATTCCTTCTTAGATAGTGGTCCCCTGGGGAGTGGATTATAACCTTTCCTCCAGGCACAGTCTAGCCCTGATTTTTTATTCAGACTCTGTTCTGTGTATTTTTCCTACTCCCACTAACTAAAAGGTAGTTGAACTGCCATAGGGACTGACTATGGGCATCAGGATTTGGATCTGTGTATTCAGGATAGAGCTGTTCAAAGGATGAGGAAGATGGATTGTATTTGTGATTATATTTGATATGTGGCCAGACTTCTCCCTGTTGCTGTTCATGAAGGCCATGATTCCTGAGTATTTAGAAAACTACCAGGCCATTTATGAAAATGCTCAGAAATCTCCACACTTCCAGGAATTTTTGAACAAAAGAATTTTAGTGGAAAAAATGCATCCCGTTGGGATATTTTTCATTACTTACTTTCCGATATTTGCTGTTGGTTACTGAATACTTATTGTATGCTGTTTGCCTGGTCTAAAAGTTTGTCACTCAACTGGGAACAGAAACAAATACCATGTGACCTAAGCTACCAGTCATGGGGCACAAATAATTGTGAACACATCATAGACAACCCATAAGCTAAAAATGGTTAATTCAAAATATTCAGAGAATTTTTAGGAAAAAATATACATTCCTAATCTCCAAATTTGCTCTTATACCACCTCATTTGCAGGCTACTACACGAATAGGCCTGACAACAGAAGACACAAAGGGGGGCAGTTGCCTTGGGACCCAGTGCTATAGTGGCAATGGCTAGAACGTCAGGCCCCTTTGAATTGTCGCCAGAGCACTGCTCTGTATGCTTCTGAGGGTGGAGGTGAAAGTACTGTATTCTAGGTGGTGCGGATGGCTGGCTGTCCCCAACCTGGCCCTCCTACCTGAAGCTCCAACCCTTCCAGGGTATAGAGCTGTTCCCTTCACCTTGCTCCAGGGCCCGCGGTGGCTGTCAGCCCCATAGTTCACACTTACCTATTGGACAAGAGGCATGGCTACATACCAGCAATCTCTTGACATTGCTCTAAATTACACTAGATCCCTATTGACAGAGAATTGGTTCCCGGTTCAGGATGGGAAGAATATTTTCATCATCAGATGAGCCCAGTACATAATTGGGTACAGCTGAAGATCACATAGTAATAAGGTTTAAGGCCAAAAGGGACCAACAGATCATCTAATCTGACCTCTTGCACATCACAGGCCACTCTAAAACTCCATCCAGTTACCCTTGCATTAGAACCAATAATCTGAATTAGACTAAGTATAGTGCGTGAGAGAGGCAGAGAGTGGGATGTGTCTGACACTACGCAATGGTAGGGAAATGAATCTAGACAGCAAATCTGGTCCATTTGTTGTCCATAGCCAAATGGCTTTCATCTGTTATAATCACTGAGATGCCTAGCAATTGCTCTATGTTCATTTACAGACCAAGAAGAGGCTGTTGTACCTGCTCACATCACAACTTGGATACTAGTGATTCTGGCAATTCTTATTCTCATTGGCGCTGGCCTTGTAGGCTATTTCCTGTACAAGAAAAAGAGACCAAATCAACTGCAAAGAGATGGTCAAGGCACAGACACGTTGTTAAAATGCAGTGATGCTGTTTCAAAAACAAGTGATAGAGAGGATTCTGTACCCACTGTTGAGCACATGGAACAAATTATTCTATAGAGTAATAAAATATGTGCCCAATTTTGGTAATATTAGCCAACTAGAATGGAAGAAATCTTAAATCAAAGCTCATTTTTTCTTGTTTAAATAGTAGTCTCTTTGTATATGTACTTAGCAGAAGCATTTATTCCTATTATAGTCAGGTATCATTCAAGATCTTCTCATATACAAGTAGGTTTTACCAAAAGGAAGATGGAGGGCTATTCAAGTGGGTAAATGGATATAATTAAAACAACTAAAGCAGAGCAAACCAGTGTGAACAAATATTTAGGAAACTATGGTTTCTAGTCAGAACTGGATTGCCATGAGATATAATAAATGGTCAAAGTCTTAGAGGAGTAGTAACGTTAATCTGTATCTTCAAAAACAACAAGGAGTCCTGTGGCATCTTAGGCTATGTCTAGACTACACCTCTCTGTTGACAGAGAAATGTAGATTAGGCACATCAAAACTGCTAATGAAGCAGGGATTTAAATATCCCGTGCTTAATTAGCATAAACATGGACACCGCTTTTTTTTGAAACGGAGCTTTTTTGAAAAAAACCCAGCAGTCTAGATGCGGAAAATAAACCCTTTTTCGACAGATCCTGTAAACCTCATTTTTTGAGGAATACAGGAACTGTCAAAAAAGGGTTTATTTTCAACAGATCCGCATCTAGACTGACATTTTTTCGAAAAAGCTCCATGTTGAAAAAAGTGGTGGCCATGTTTATGCTAATGAAGTGTGGGATATTTAAATCCTTGCTTCATTAGCAATTTCGACATGCCTAATCTACATCTCTCTGTCAACAGAGAGGTGTAGTCTAGACACACCCATAGAGACTAACAGATTTATTAGGGCATTAGCTTTTGTGGGTAAAACCCACTTCATCAGATGACAGCCTATGCTCTAATAAATCTGTTAGTCTTTAAAGTGCCACAGGACTCCTCAATGAATGGTCAGTTTATGCAAGTATTATGTTTGTGGAAATAGCAAAGCACTCAAGAAAACATTTGTCTAAATCCGTTGTAAACCTGAAAATAATCCAAGAAATATAACTCCAACACTTAAGCTCTTTTCTATTGATGGAACTGTACTTTTTCTTCAGTCTTAGTAGTGTTGTATAGTATCACTTTTTAGATAACTTCAGGAGACTTAAGTAGCCTGCTGTTTTCACTTTCTGTTATGTATAAAGAATGAAACCTGTCAGAAATCTCACAGAGGGTTTCATTGTCTGTTTCTGTAAGACTTGGAGCCTCTTTAAATTATGTGAATTAAAATGTCCTCCCAAAAGTTATGCATGGGTGAAAGCAGAATGGAAAGGAGTTTTCCTTCGTTCAATTTAACACATTTTCTTGGCCTGAGGTCCAGATCTAGGCATGAAAATAATACGGTGGGCCATGAATGTAGGGCTGAGATAGGAGTTTGGGGTGGAGGAGTGGGTGTAGGCTCCAGCCCAGTTCTGTTTACCTCAGGCGTCTCTGGAGTGGCTGTGCAGTGGGACTAAGGCATTCCTAGCAATGGCCAGCATGTCTGGCGGCTGCTCCTGGCAGGTGTGGATGACAAGTTGCTCTACAAGCTGCTGCCATTATCAGGCACCAACCTCCCAACTCCCATTGGCCACAGTTCCCTGCTCTCAGCCATTGGGAGCTGTGGGGGCAGAGCCTGCAGGTAGGGGCAGTGTGCAAAGACCTCCTGCCCCTCTCCTGCATCCTCGTGGGCTGCAGGCACATGCCAGCTGCTTCTGGGAGATGTGAAAGGTCATGGTCAGGGTAGACAGGGAGCTTGCCTTAGCCCCTCTCCACTCCTGGATTGATAATCCTACAGGCCAGATTAAAAACCGTGATGGGTGTAGTTTGTCTACCCCTGTCCAAGAGACTGTTCCAAAACTATAACCTTAAAACATTTATTTTGGTAAAAACTTTCAAAAAATAACTTCAAAATCAATCATTTGAACTGTTTGACCAGGACTTGTGTTACCTTTCCACATATCTTTTTTTCCAGAAAGATAGCAGAGTAGCAAGCTGGGGTATAAAACCATCCGGCACTAGTCTGCCATGCACCAAGGGTCTGCTCACCATGCTGTCATGCACCAGAAGATCATTAGTGTGCTTTAATCTACTTTGGTTTTCGGTATGGGATTTACTAACAGGATTTGCACAAATTAACTATTTGTGTAGACAAGGCCTTATTGATGGCAGATCCTAAATATTTGAGCTTTTATGTATTTGCTTGTCTTAGCTCTCTAGAAACACTTTTGCCAGAGTGTGTTTGTATAAGAAACAGACTTTTTTTCTTTAGTTCCAGCTTCTGCTCCTTCACCCCCCTTTAGTTCTGGATTTTATATAAAAATCATGTAAATAAAGAATTGTTTCCTGAGTTAACTACTGTCTCTTTTGTATCAGATAAATTTGTTATATGTTTGCAGCCATGTTAGAGTTGGTTCAAGATTGCTTAAGTATTCCTTGCTGACAGTAAGGGCAGATCTGCACTAACGCAGTTGATCTAATTTATGTTGCTCAGGTGTGGAAAAAACTCCACTCCCAAGTGATGCCTGTTTTATGTTATCCATACCAGTGGTATTTCAGTGGAAGATACTTTTGTTTCTTGGCAAGGTGGAGTAATTATACTGACGGGAGAGCACTTTCCTATTGGTATGTACATCTTCACCTGATGTGCTACAGTGGTGCAGCTACACTGGTGCAACTGTTCCAATATATCACTGTAGTGTAGATATGCCCTGAGCTTTCTCATAAGAATACCTGTCAAAAACACACTTCTGTGTTTGATTGGCTAGGAGACCCCACCCCATATTGATGCACAGTGATCTGGTCTTAGTTACACCATCTTTGACATCTCCCATTTGGACAGCAGTAAACCTACATAAGAACATAAGAACGGCTGGACTGGGTCAGACCAAAGGTCCATCTAGCCCAGTATCCTGTCTGCCGACAGTGGCCAGCACCAAGTGCCCCAGAGAGGGTGGACCGAAGACAATGATCAAGCAATTTGTCTCCTGACATCCCTCTCCAGCCTCTGACAAACAGAGGCCAAGGTCACCATTTTATCCCCTGGCTAATAGCCTTTTATGGACCTAACCTCCATGAAATTATCTAGCTTTTCTTTAAACTCTATTATAGTCCTAGCCTTCACAGTCTCCTCTGGCAAGGAGTTCCACAGGTTGACTACATGCTGTGTGAAGAAGAACTTTCTTTTATTAGTTTTAAACCTGCTACCCATTAATTTCATTTGGTGTCCTCTAGTTCTTCTATTTAGGGAACTAATAAGTAACTTTTCTTTATCGGCTCTCTCCATACCACTCATGATTTTATATACCTCTATCATATCCTCCCTCAGTCTCCTCTTTTCTAAACTGAAAACTGGCGGTCAAGCCATCAGCCTTTAGGAAACTCCAGATAGTACAGAACTAAACTCGGTTGAGAATTTACTATCTCAATTGTTTTTAAACACCAAATGCATTTGCCATAAAATCAAAACTTTAATTTTAATTTCTAATTTTGAGTCTGTTGATAGTTTTCCTACTTTTGTTCAGGAAAAACAAAATAATTAATTTCAGTTTGGTTTGACTTGACTTGAAATATTTTGGTTTGTTAAACTGACCTGAAATGTTTTAAGTCAGTTCAATATAAAACTTTTTTTTCAGGGTGGTGGCACATTTCTTCATAGGAGCAATTGTTTGAGAGCATCAGGAATCTACTCTTTTTTCATGGATTGGAGTATGTGGCCAAATTACATTTCCCATGATGTTCTGTAATTTCCTCTCTGAGTGAATGGCATGCTTAATTAATTATAGGAGTTGTGATAGGGTGCAGTCAGAGGCGATCCCTTGGGGGTACCTCCTGACGTGCTGACATGGCCACTGCCACTTGCTCTCTGGGGCCCCTCAAGGCCCAGTCGTGCTGGGCCAGTTCCGCTGGTCCCCCCAGACAAGCCCTGTGCTGAGGTCCCTGCCCCCACCGAGAACCAGTACAGATACTGAATCTCTTCAGGTACAAGGTGAGTGCAGTTTGGGTCCCAGCTTCCTGGGATAGCATTCCCCAAATGGGATCAGATCCTAAAGAAGTAGGTAAGCCACCTTTAACAATGAAAGGGGGAATGTACACGGTGGTTGCCCCTCCCCACCAGGTAACAATTACTTACACTGGGTTTGATAGAAAATAAAAGTAATTTTATTAAGTAGAAGCAGTAGGATTTAAGTGCTAATAAGAGAGAACAGGCAGAACAAAGTAGGTTACAAATCAAAAGAAACAAAAACTCTTGACTAATTCTACACCAAAACCTTAGTATAAACTTTTCCAGACTCTACTCCCTACCAACTCCTGCTCAGACCTAAGGACAAAAGAGATTATTTAACAGTTGCTCATCATGAGGGTAACGCTCTCCATGTTCCTCATTCACACATTTGAAATCCCCAGAGTATTTCCCACTCCATATGTCTAATTTCACAGACAAAAATGATATGCAAGTAAGATGAACAGAACCAGCAGATCATGACATGAAGACTGATGGGTTACATTAAATAATTCGCTCAAAGCACCTTTGAGTTAGGAAAATTCATGTCCATAAGTCTATTCCATAAAGCATGGGGGGGAGGGGATCTGTCACAGGAGTCACATGGTTGCCCATGCATCATGGGATGTACTCCAGCCAGGATGTTCTGCCTAAAGAGGACAATTACAGTATCAGACAACTGAACTACAATTCCCATGAGGCAATGTACCATCATAGCGAGATCCAGTTTGAAGACTGAAATGACTCTCAATAAAATATTTTGGATCATTTCAACAATCTAAAATCAAACATTTTAAGTTGGGAACATCAACATTTTTCATTTTCATCAAAAATGCCAAAATGAAAATATTTTGCCATTTCTGAATGCAGTTATTTCAGAACTCTTAAGAAATAAAGCTATGGAAATATTGGAATTTCATTCAGGACAGAAATTCTATTTTAATTCACCACCATACAGAACACTGCATCATGTCTCCTCAGCAACAGGTGTTACTGCATGCATGTCAAACATGCCTTCTCTCTCTTCATTGACATCCCATTGACAATTATGTCAAGTTTAAAGTTATTATTTTCAAGGCTCTTGGGAGCCTGCGGGCCTGCATATCTGAAGATCTTAAAGCTCCAGGATAAAGGCCCCTGTGGACAAGTTTACTTCTTAAAAAATGGAAGTTCCTAAAATAAGTGTCTAAAGCTCAGTGGGCCAGGAGACAGAGCTTTCTTGTCAGCCAGTCTAAGACAATGGAATCATTTCCCACCCCACCCAGTCCTAGAACTAAGGGCCATCACAAACCACCCACTTTCTGTTCCAAGTACAAGTATTGACTTTCTTTAATATAAACTGACTACTAAACAAAACCTTATGCACACCATTCTTCCCATGAGCAGAGGCTGAGACAGAATGA